ATTTTGCTACTAGATATCCCGAGGTCATACCATTATGATACATTGAAACTGAGGCAATAGCCGATGCATTGATTGGGTATATGTGCAGAATGGGCTTTGCCTCTGAAATAGTCACAGACCTAGGAATCTCCTTTACATCGAAATTAACTAAAAGGCTGTGGCAAGTTTGTGGCATCACTCATGTAACATTGTGCCCTTATCACCCACAAACAAATAGGCTCATGGAAAAGTTCAATGCAACTTTAATGATATGCCTGTATCATTAACGAGGATGATACAGGCATATGTTGCAGAAAACCCTTATGATTGGGACTGCAAGATACAGTCCCTGCTCTATGCCTATAGAGATGTCCCCCAAGAGAGCACAGGCTTTAGTCCCTTTGAATTTTTATTTGGGAGACAGGTTCGAGGCCCTCTAGACCTGTTGAGACAAAATTGGGAGGATTATAAGGAAATGGACCCTGTCTCTGTAATTGAGTATTTGGATGACTTGATGAATTCTTAGCAGAAATCTTTAAAACTAGCAGGGGAGAATTTGAAGGAGGCCCAACACAAACAAAAAACCCTGGTATGATCATAAAGCCAGAGAGAGACTGTTTAACCCTGGAGAGGAGGTGTTAATGTTGAGACCCATTAAAGGGAGCAAGCTTCAATTAGCTTGGGAAGGTCCATACAAAGATGAGCTCAGTCAATTATGTACTCCAATGGGGGGATGAAACTTGGAAGGTGGTCCAGGTGAATATGATAAAGCCATATATCTGAAAAGAAAACCTGGTTGTGGTGATCTCCTCTGAAGCCCTTATTCCCCCACCCAGGCCTTCACGACGTTCTCGCTCTTCTTCCTTCTTTGCTGCCACCAGGTCTTACTGCCTTAATACAATTTAATCATGGAGACATGTGCGCTTTTAAAACTTAAGTCATTTATTAGATCAGGGAAGTTAATATACGATTAATATTCAATAGGTAAATCACAGGCTGATAATCACTAGTATTTGAATCAAAACTGCTATAACTTTAAACCTCTTTTAACTCTCTATTCCATTCATCATTCTTACAGAACTCTAACTCACTCTTAGTTCACTCTTAAGTTTCACATTGCCTCTCACTCACAGAATCTCTCTCAGACTTCATTCACCAGCCTTTATATTCAGCTCCCTCCCCCTTTGGCTCCACCTTCCATCCACTCATTGGCTCATTCTTCACTGTTCTACTGTGATGGACAGGTGAGGGAAGGGCTGTTCGCTACATTGGTTTTATTTTCTATAACCAAAAGCCCAGAACAACAACAAAAGGTATTATGCTGGGAAGTCAGAGAGAAGTCTAAAAACAACCCCGGGGACATAGTCCTTAGCCCTGCACTTTCCCCAGAATAGAAAGAAGAGGTGTCTTCTTCAAAAATCTAAAGCTGTATTTTCATCAAAACCAGGTGTAGCTAAGGGGGTTGAGCACATCATAGACACTGGGGATGCTAGATCCATAGCTGTTACTCCCTATAGACTAACTGGATCATATAGGGACAAAATATGTACAGAATTAAATGAAATGCTAAAGGCACTAAAAATCTTGCAAGGCAAACCCCTACATGAGAAACTAGCAAGTAAAAGGATAAAACCAGGTGATGAAAATCTCAACATTTCTGACATAAACCAAGTGCTTGAGATTTCACCTAGAAGAAATTTGTATATGAATATAGAGGTTCCCCATCTATTGCGACTAAAGTACCTGTGGGCAAGTTTGTGGGTGAGAGTGAAAGCAAGAGCAATAATATCTCAAAGAAGGATGTAGCCTTAGAGGAGGGGAAGAAACTGCCTACCCTTTCCCCATTTGCGAAAGCGAAGCCACATGTGAAAAGAAAACGACTTCACCCGGAAAAGGTGAGCTGAGGAAATCCAGTGGACATCAGTACTAGGTGATTGTCGATCGTCGGAAGACTTCAAAGTCTGTCTTTGTTGCGCCAGACTTCAATGTGGAATTCCTCAGCTGCATGGATGCATTGAGCATTGGACTTGGAGCTAGATTGTGCCAAGCGGATGACAGCGAGAGTCTTCGCCCAATGACTTTTATCATCATTTATAGGCATGCCCTCTCAATGGCAGACAAATGTCTCTTCAACCTAATGAGAGACATTTGTCTGCCATCGAGAGGGCATGCCTATCTATCATATGGACGTTACAGAAACATAAGCCATACGTATGGAGAAGAAAGCTTACACTGCGCACTGACCACTCACCTTTGAAATGGTTGAGAACTTTGCAAACAAACAGTAGCAAACTGACCAGGTGGTACTTGATTCTCCAAGATTATGACTCTGAAGTTAAAAACATCAAAGGATCTTTAAATGTGGTAGCGGACACTTTGTCCAGAAGACCTAATGATTAAGTGTAAACGTAAATGTTTATATCTATAATGTTTGATTCAATTTAGAGGAAAATATTTATGAATGTATGGTTTCCAGGACTGTATAATGTGGTAAGTTTAAATAGTAAATGTATTACTTGATAGAAGCCCATATGGCAAGTGTGTATAGGTAATTGTAAGTATGGTAAGAATGTTAGTAATTTTATTAAATGTCTTGTTTGTTTAAGATGGTAAACTGGTAAGTTTTCCCCTCATAAAATAAACTTTAAGAGCGGAGGAGTGTAGCAAGTCACCCTGGCATGAATATTCAGCAGGGTATTTGCATGAACCAATAGGGAGCTGTTGGGAGGTGGAGTCAACTATATAGAAGGGAGGCTGTAACAGAGTGTGGGAAAGATATAGAGTTTTGAGAGAGATAGGGAAGAAAGGTTTGAAGAGAAAGGAAGATAGTTTGGGTCTTGAGGCAGAAAGAGAGTTTAGGGAGTGAACAGTCGGAGTGTTGTATGTACAGTATTAGTTAAATGTAAAGGAGGTTAAGGGAAATATTGAAGCTCTGTATAACTTTAAGAATGAACTATTCCTGAAACAACTTGTAACCAATAAACCTGTTCTTATTTCAAATTTAAGGAGTGAATAAACCTCAGTCTTTCATAGGAAATGTAGTTGGTAAAGAGATCAATTGGTGGCAGCGTGGTAAAGGACATGTTGGGAAACATAGCGTAAGCTCTGTGTTTGGTGAAACAAGCAGAGGCCATGTGGTGAAACGTCACAGATGCTTCTTTTCAAAGAGTCTCAGGGGAGGGGGGAGCAGGATAATATTCTCTCACATCCACAGAGGCCAGGATCTGCTTACTAGCAACTTTGATGATAACTGTGTGAATTATTTCAGAGGGATTGCTTTGGAAAGATAGTTTGGGGGACTACAAGTTCCAGAATTTCTAAATGGCATGGTGAAACTCTTTGCAGCCATATACCTAACTCACTAAATTATCCAGCCAGCTACCTCATATATAATGTGAACCACAGTTAGCCACATAGATTCAGGCATCATCATGGAAGCAACACTGGAGGCATTCAAGACGAAATTGGACAACCATTTGTCAGATCTGCTTTGATTTGGATTCCTATGTTCAGCAGGGGATTGGACTTGATGGCCTTATAGGCCCCTTCCAACTCAATTATTCTATGAATCTATGGTTATTCTCCCCTCTTGTCTAAATAATAATACACAGATGCCAGTTTTAGGGCTCTTTCTTCCACTGTATACCTAAATTCTTAAGGCAATAAATGTATATCACCTTTCCTTAATAGTTATGAATTTCTGAAATAGTTACTTTTGTTTAATATTCTTAAGTTCAGCATGAGACTGTTGCACTCTGCTAGCATAAATACCAAATATTTCTTTAACCTGGAGGCTGCTCAAGATTATCATTTGAGTGAAATGTTATCCATTCTTACCAAATTGACCTTCAATTATCCACAGAGCAAGTAAAGCCCTTCTTTGCAGTGGAAAGGAAGGCAGTGGAATGGAGCACTACACTAGATTTATATGTGTTGCTGTGGCACCCACATCAGTCGGTTTCCCCACCTCCTGTCCTATAACGCATTTATTTATCAGCATTGATTTCAGTATTCAAAAGCATTCCTTTACTTGTTAAAAAAGAAAAACATATAATCTAGAACTGAAACTTTGTCACTTTGTTGCAGAGCACGCTAACAACTAAGCATGAATTAATAATTTGGAATTCAAGCAGTAATAATGTAAAAATTTATTATTTTATTATTACTTAGACACTGGTTAGTTCCTTCAAGAAAGACAACACCTTTCCTAATTGCAAATGCCGTAAATTGATACAGATTATCAGGCTTCAAACTAAATACCAAAACTTCCTTGTGGAACAGGGTCCTCTGATAACAGAAGCAACCTTTGAAAATGGTTCTATTTAGTAAACATCTCTCAGACATTTGCTTTGTATTACCGGATTTCCCCACTGAGTGTCAGAGTCTCAACATGACTCTCTGCACACTATCACATAATAACCTAAGATTCATTGCTTTTCTACAACCACTCTGACTGGCATTAGTACTCCAAAGCATTGCATGCCACCAGGAATGTCAGATACAACAACGTACACTCCACATGGTTTAGATTTGTTCTAGGCTTCATGCAACAGCTGTTTGTGGTCACCAGGTTGGAGTGTTGTAACACAAGAGGACAGGGCTAATATGACATTTCGCAACCCTCTGTTTCACACGAGATTCCAAATCCCAACATCTACTTTACTACATTCTTGTTTGACACATTAAGGATTAAAGTCTGCCTATCATCCTATGTATAGAGGCTAGTTTGCGTCAGTGATTATGGAAGTCATGACCACATCAAGAGCTTGGCAGACATGCTCGGAATCAACATCCTACATTCCTGTTCAGTAGCACCACAGTGTCACACAGTGCCTCAGGTGAAACACTGTATGCCAATACAACACCAATAAAGCCTTCAAGAAACTTTATCTTGGTTCCCCCCAACTCCATATTTAAACATTAATTCAAAGAATACAAGTAATTTCTGAAGTGAAGCAATATTCATTTAGCTTTGGGAAATAACAAGGACATAGAGGAAGAAAAAAACATAGAGAACTGACCTGATAAACGCTTTTCTCGCGTGCTCTTCCAAAAGACATCCCAAGCTTTGTTGGTGGAGACCCTGACATGTTCGCTGAAAGATCTCCTCAGACGAGACTTCCCTGGATAGGCCATCTCGGCTGTGGATTCGGGTAACTGTAGTCCACTGCTAACCTCCTAAGATCCAGCTGCCTGAGTCTATCATGGTTGACAGTTCTATCCGTCCAGCTTTCTGCTCATAGATCAGACAGAGGGGAAAGATTTGCTCTGTTGTAAGAAAGCCTGCATGTAATTTGTTAACACCCCTCAGAGGCTGGAATGGAGAGAGAAGGAGGGAGAGATCTTGGAGGAGGAAGAAACTCCTTCCAAACAATCTGGGGTCAGGCTGAAGAGGAAATAGCAGCCCAGTAGAGCCCCCTCCTGCCCCCCACCCAAAGTATAGTTCTACATCTCAGCTGCCACATTTTATAAACATGCTCATTGCTGGGTGGTGCAAAGAAAAGATTCAGGCAACCACACAATAACATGTCAGGCGGCTCTCTGTCCCACTTCCAAGCCTCTCCCGTTTAACAGCATGTGAAACAAGCTACCTCCTTTTTGAGTCCTCTTTATTGCCCTGTTCTTCTCTTGTATGGGGGAAGAGCAGCTTTGCCGGATCAAACACAGACCAAGAGTCCTTTTTGTGCAACATCCTGTTTCCCACCAGATCTGGCCAGATTCGTCTGAGGACTCCACAGCAGGGTACGAAGGCAAGAGACCTCCCTGCCGTTCAACTCCCTCCCCCACACATCCTCAACTGAATTTGTTCATAGTCCAGAGCTTGGGAAAAGTCACTTATTGCAATACAACTCCCAGAATCACCCAGCCAGTACGTACACTAAGGGATTCTGGGAGCTGTAGTAAAAAAAAAAAAAGACTTCCAAACTCTGGGCTGCACACCTGAAAGTTTTGTCTGGCTCATTACAAATGACACCAATCCACAGAGCTATCTGTTAATTTGACTCCCTGGTGGCCTTTTTGAACCATTCATGCTGACAGCTGTCAATATTTGCCCCCTCTTGCAGCACCAAATTCCAGCTGCTCATTTTGTGTTGTGCCAATTCTTAGAGCCACCCTTTGCCTCCCTGAACAATGAGGACTCACCAGATGAAGTCCGCTCTCTCTTCCATCCCACCAAAATGACACAGTGATGCACTGATGTTCAAAACTTCTTCTTCATCACTTGACTTTCCAGTTTACATTATTAACATCCGATTGCATGCACAGGAAGAGCTGTATCCTGCCCATCGGTTTCCAACTTGATATAAATCATATTTGTTATTTCACTATGACAAATAATTCAGAGATAAGTTGTGGAACTTTGGCAAGCAGATCCTTGCAGCGACTGCTGGAATGCAGGCACAACTTCAGTATATTGAAATAGATGGTTTGTGGAAAATGCTGCTTTGACATTCTTTTATTCCCTGCTGTGATAAATTTTTAAATATTCTTATCTTCTCTTTCTAGGATTAGAGAGAGCTATTCCCTTGGTATTTCAAAGACAGCAGTAATATGGATTCTTCTCTCATACTGCTAGAACATACCACACATGATATCAATATACCACACTATATTTCATTTGTAGATTATGTCTCAAGTGGATCACTTAATGCTCTCAACCACTTAATTCAGCTCCCACAGCTAACAATTCAGATAGAAAGGGGGCATTCCCAAGAGTTATATGCAAGATTCTTCTATTACCGAATTACTTTTTCCTGGCTTTTTTTAAAAAAAAGCAAAAATGTGTAATACTCAGGAACTGGAAAAGCAAATAGCATTTTTGTACTATAGACCACTGTCTTATTGTATTCAGATAAAGGCCAAAATCCTGTTGCTTAATGTAGTAAATCACACTAGAATAGGCTCACTGAATCAATGGGGATTTAGTGAGTCAACTGCTCCACAAATTCTATTGATTCAAATGGGCCTACATGAACTGCAGCTTAATATGTCAAGCTGTAGCTACAGTAGGCCCATTTGAATTAATGAAACATATGGAGGAGCTGTCTCATCAAATCCCCATTGAGTCAATGGGCTACTCTAGTGCAATTTCCTAAGCAACAGGACTTTGGTCAGCATTTAACTAGTATTTATGCTAGCTTCTGTTTATGCACAGGGAAGCAAGAAAAGACTGCATCTGAACACGTTGGAAAGGGTCGCTTTGTTGGAAGCAGTCTCCCTGAAAACAACACTTCTGTCCATACAAGAATTGTTCCAGCCAGTCTCCAAAAATTGTCCAGCTTGGACAGGGATCAGAGTCAGGCTGGTTCACAATCTCTTGCACGTTGTGCGATTGCTGGGAACAGTCTGCACTGGACTGTGCCACAAGTGGTCCAAAATGCAAGCTATGTCCTCTCTGATTGTGTCCTGACTATTTGCCTCCCCACCAAAAGGACACCTACTTCCTTTTCAAAAGTTTCTTTCCAAGATCTACGGCAGACATGAGTGTGATTAATTTATGGAATTTGCTGCCAGAGCTGCAGCAAGGACGACAAGTATAGACAGCTTAAACTGGACACTAGAAAAATTCTTGGAGGCTAAATCTATCAATGGCTGTCCATCAGGATGGCTGTATGCTAAGCCTCCATTTCCAGAAGCAGTATGTCACTAGCCAATGCTGGGAAGCTGTTGTAGCACTCATGTTCTGCTTGTGGACTTCCCAAGCAGGGAAGGTTGACCAGAATGATAAAACAGATACTGGATGCTTTAGAGTGATGCAGGAGGCCTTGTCATATGCACGTGGAGGGGTCCATTTTATACAGTGCTTCCCATATACAGTAGTGTCCCTTGTAACTGAAGCCAATGAATAGGCAAAACATGTGTCTGGATGTTTCCTTGAAGATCTGCTCAATTCTGGAGAGAGGTAAGCTAGAGAGAGTTGAGGTTTCTTTCTTTCGTTCAATATCAGTCTTTCTCTCTCTCAACAAGTCCTGATTGAACGTGGAGAGTCCTTGTCTTTACACACCAATTACTAAATATCCATCACCAAATTCCATTCAACTCCCTTCTGAGGACTATCCAGAACATTCTTGTATTGTGAGAAACGCAATCACAGAACCTCACTGTTCCTTTTCCATAATCACACTAGACCAGGCACTTCGGGATACTGTGGGAGTGTGTTTTCTAGTCACCTTGAGTGACTAGACGGTGCTATTTCCACTGGCAGGAGGTAAGCGTAAGGGGCTCCCTCAACAAAAGAGAAACTTGGGTTGTCAGCTTGAAAACGATGCTAGTTCAAACATGGCCTGACTGTTGATATCTTCTAGCCCATGGGTTGGGTCCAAGGAGACATATAGGCCCCAGCCCCTCCACTTCTGCTCTAGAGAGGGAGACCATACCATGTGGGTTCAAATTATGAGGAATAAAATTAGACTATATGTTCTGATGGTACCAGGCAGATGTGGGCAGCACATTGCATCATAACTGGCATTCACTCCTCAGTTTAGCTCAGCTCCATGGAAATAATAATTGTTGGAGTTGTGGAAAATCAAGTTTTATCGCCCCATGCCGAGAAGTATAGAAATTAATCAAAGCTTTTGAAAACCCTAACAACAGAAATGTTGTTTTGCATCCAAGCCATCATTTATGTTGAAAAGGTTTCAGTCAGAAATTTCTTTTGAAAACAATAGAGCAAAATGTCAATTTTTTAAAAAGGTAGGAAAGTTGTTGGGGGCAACATTCATGTCTTCTCCCTGTCCATACATGGCGAGAGAGAGGTCTGCAAAATCCCACGGGTTTGAGGCCTTAAGAAAGCTTTCCTCTGCTTTAATTTCAAGGGATAACAGCATCAAGCAGATTTTTAGAAAAGGAGAGGAGAGGAAAAGACCCTTAGAGATGTCTTTAGCATTTAACGTTCAAAGCTAAGCAAGCAAACGACAACTCTAACCCACTTCCCTGTGTAAGTTCTGCTGTGTCAAATCCCCGCCATGCCTGTGAAACATATGTTTATAATCTGCAGTAAATAGTTTGTTGTTGCTTTTATTTTCACCAGATGCTCGTTTGCTTTAACTCTCCCTCAAGAGAATTCATGTATTCAAATACTTTCTTGACAACTTCATTGGTTATCAATCAATTTATGAGCCACATTGCTTTATTTGTTAATTTTCCTGTACATTTAAAGACCATGTCTGTAGCCTCCCTGTCACTGCAATACAATTGAATGTGAGTGTTTTGTGCGTATCTGGATGGGAGAACTGTTAAAGGATAGCTGGTTCAGCAAAACAATTGTACTAATTGTTTTGATCTGTCTTTGGAAGGCTTCAAGTAATCATCACATTAACATGGAGCTTATTGGTGTTATGGTATAACACCGTGCATAGCAATGGGACAGGACATAGTTAAGCTACCTGTCCTACAGTGGGTTGTTTAATAATAAAAAATAAATGTAAAGCATTTTATGACGTTTAAGTAAAAACCAATTATATACTCATTGTTCAGCAAAGTCAGTGTTAATTCAATTTTTCATAAAATCCCCAAGTTTATGTCAAATAATGCCATGGTGTGTCTTATGAGATTTCAGCCTGTCTCCCTTTGAGATCTGCCACACTTAGAAACATGTGTCCCATTCTTTGTATCTGTCAGTGTGGACTTCGAGGTTTCCTACTTGCATTTCTGACGATGAATGGGATGAGAAAGGGTAGACTATGGTCAAAGTCTCATATGAGGTTCTAGGTTTCAGCTGGGGGGGACTCAGGTCCTTTTCAAGGCATAGAGAGGCTCAGGTCAGAAATGTTTGTTTGAGGCCTTTTCATGTTGCCTCCATGTTTTAGGGTACAATTACACTGTTGAAATAAATCAAGAACTGGATTAGGGTTTTATAAATAAAATAAATGTCATGTGGTTTATGTTCCAACATGCGCATCATCACAATCACCCACAGTGCTGCCAGCACTGAGCTCAAGCAGCAAAAAGGACTGCTCAGCTGGGAAGTTTGCCTAGAAAATGCACTCACTTCTGTTTCTGTTGTTGTTGTCAAGGTGCTTTCCATCTTCCTTACTGCAGTGGTCTCAGCATCACCTCCTCCTTGGCTCCCACAACAGGCAACTGTGATCTAGTTTGTCTCCACAGTCCCAGCTGCTCCCCCCATCACTCCCTGTCATTACAGTGGGTTAGGTGGGTTTCTCTGGGAATTCCCTGCAACAAAACGTACATGTGTGTGTGTGTGTGTGTGTGTGTGTGTGTGTGTGTGTGTGTGTGTGTGTGTGTGTGTGTGTGTGTGTGTGTGCGCACGCGCCTTCCATGAGATGACAGAGCAGGCTTACTCCCATACGAGTGCATGCAGGACAGCGACTTTAGCTCTGCCAGTTTCCTCATTCTCACCTTCCATTTAGACTGCAAAATATTTTCATGGGAAAGCAGGGAATTCATGGTAAACATGAGCAATTGCCTAGGTTCCTGTTTTATCTTGTATAGTAGGAAAAGCAGATAAGACAGGAAGAGGAGGAGGAGGAGGAAAATACACTTGCGTCACCCCAGGCCAAAGAAAAGGTGAAGAAAACAGTGGCAATACATCGGAGGCATCCCTGACCACTGGCTTCTCTTTCTCTTTCTCTGTGTCTCTGTCTTTCTTGTGCACATTCACAACCTGTCTGTCCTCTAGAGCAGTGGTCCCCAACCTTGGGCCTCCAGATGTTCTTG